TATAAAAAGAAATACCTTCATTTCTTTACTATGTTCCATAACTAAAACATGTTCCATTAGATTAAATTTAGATATTTATTCTTTGGGGATTTATTTATTTTTTTGTCTGCTAAACTGAAATTAAAAAAAAAACACAAATAAATGGCATAATATTCTAGAGTTAAATGATAAGAAAGATAAGTTTATCTCACTTTCTTTTACCACAGGAACCCCAGGTAAAGATAAGAGAGTTTTTTTTTTTTTTGAGATTTTATTTATTTATTTGATAGAGAGAGACACAGCGAGAGAGAGAGAGAGAGAGAGAGAAAGAGCACAAGTAGGGGGAGTGGGAGAGGGAGAAGCAGGGTCCCCACTGAGCAGGGAGCCCGATGTGGGGCTCGATGTGAGGCTCGATCCCAGGACCCTGGGACCATGACCTGAGCCGAAGGCAGACGCTTACTGACTGAGCCACCCCGGCGCCCCAAGACAGAATAGTTTAAATGAGACCATCAGTTGCTGGCCTGAGTAGGCTTCCTCTTCTTCTCCTGTGTCCTAACAAGGCAGTTTCAATGACACCCGCAACATGTAACACACTTGGTCATATATTTTCCTAAATGTACTGGGTTAAAAAAAATCTCCCATTTTTCTCAGTCAAATTTTCACCAACATATTCTATTTTCCCTAAAGTAAAAAAAATTGGAACGAGGTTCAGTTTTTAGCTTCCAGTGACTAGCTAATGAGGTAAAAATGTCCATGTTCAGCAATGTTGATTAGAAATGTTTTTCTACTTGGCATTCGGTTTTCAAGAACATTTCTAACTATGACCATACTGTTAATGAATTTTTGGAAACACCTTTGGGGAATTTTCTCTCTAAAGTACTACATTCTACTGAATATTTTCAGGTCAGCGGTGGGGTAAAAGATGGAATTTAGAGAGATTAACACAGTTTAGAATTCTAAATTGCCTTAGTGTGAAGACTCTAAAAGCATCTTTATGTAGCTTTGAACAGATCTGTACTTAAAGACATAGGAAACTATTTTGTCATTAGGTTTGTGCTGATTGTTGTACATTGAGAAGAAAATATTGTAATGTGTTGATATAGTTGCCAAGAGTGACCTAGGCATTCCTTAACAAAAATGGTATTTTACAAAGAAACAAAGAAAAAAGAGACAAACCATAAAAACAGACTCTTAACTCTAGAGAACAAACTGATGGTTGCCAGAGGGGAGGTGGGGAGAGTTGGGGAAATAGGTGATGGGGATGAGGGAGGGCACTTGCTGTGATGAGTACCGGGTGTCATATGGAATCATTGGATCACTACAGTGTTCATCTGAAACTAATGTATGTTAATTATACTGGATTTTTTTCTTTTTTTAAAAGATTTTATTTATTTATTTGACAGAAAGAGACACAGCGAGAGAGGGAACACAAGCAGGGGGAGTGGGAGAGGGAGAAGCAGGCTTCTGCAGAGCAGGGAGCCCCATGCGGGGCTCCATCCCAGGATGCTGGGATCATGACCTGAGCCGAAGGCAGACACTTAACTGACTGAGCCACTGAGGCACCCCAAAGGACCTTCATGATTTTGAAAAAATCACAGAAATATGACTTAATGATGGGTCAACTGTTCGTTGCTGAGCATTAAGGATACAAAAAATTACCAAGTATAAATTATCCTGTTTTATGGCGATCTTTTTTAACCTACTATTGTGGTTGATGGGAAAGTCTGTTCATAAAATCAGGAATGCAAAGTGATAAATCAGAACTAGCACAGGTTTTGAAATCCAAAGCCCTAGAATCAAACAAAATCTGCTAGTTATTATCTGGATAAAGAGTGCACCTTTCTGAGCAGAGGTTAATAATAATTTTACCTGAAAGAGATCCTTTCAAGGGTTAAATGAAATAATGTATGTGAGACCTTTTAAAAGCTATAACATTATAGAAGTAAAGCATCATTTACTATATCTGATATTGCAGTATCTCTAAAAACCTGGGAGTATTTTATCTTTATTTTGTAATAGTGGATGTTTTGTTGAGCATAACTCTGATGTAAATAACAGTAAATACCCTGGAGAAAAATTACTTAATGTTCTTGATTAATGCCAGTGGAAAAGTAGCTCAGTTTTGTTCCTGAAATGATGCTATTCTTTTTCTAATCAAAATGATGAATGTTGTTTCTTGTTTTCATCAGTCATACTCACAAGGCCTACTTACTTAGAGTTTTGGCCTAACAGCTTACCTTAATTTAAAGATGAGCTAATGGATTACATTTTTCCCTCCTGCTGTTGGGAATAATAGACACCATCTTTCTGAATAATTGTTGAATACTCACTACTGATGGTAAGCTCTAAAGTTGCTTGATTGATTATAAAACATACTAAATTAGTCCTAAAAGTAGCTTCTAATTTGGTGAAAAACTGCAACTTCCAGTGTTCTAGGTGAAAATTGAGTACAAGTCTGTTTTAAAGGTTTTGTCTGTAAGTAAGAATGCAAAATTGGGTTTGAAATAATTAAATCTGAGAAATATTTATGACTTTCTCTCCCTTCATATAGCCTCCTCTGAAATTCCTTTCATCTGAAGAAGTGGAATGGGATATAAGTCCTTTGAAAATTGTTTTTTAAGATGCTGAATCTTAAATTTGTATTTCAACTAGGTTGACAATCAAAGTTGTTTTAAGTGGAAATAAGATGAGTAGAATGAATAAAGATTTAATTTTTCCTACCCTAGAGAGAGCCGTGTGGCTTTCCCCATACTGTAATCTATGTGATTGAAAATGCTCCTATAGAGATTTTTAAACCAGACAAGAAATGTTTTCTTTTGGGTCAGTTTTATGAGCACTATGGTCATTTCTGTGGATGTATATAAAAAACAAAGAGAAAGCAAATGAGTATTTTACTTTTCAGTGGGAGATCTTTTTTTTTTTTTAAGCTATCCCTGACTGTAATTGACTAAATCTGAGAAACTGAGGTGAAAAGAAAAGGAGAGAATTAGAGAAAACTCTAGTAAATGTATCATTCTAGAAGAAATATCTTAAATAAGGCAATCGTTCATAATACAATGGAAGATTGACAACTGAGTTAGAATAAACCCAATTGTAATACCAAAAATGATTCAAAATTTTTTTTAAGTAGGCTCCATGCTGGGAGCTTTTTTTAAGGTAGGTTCCAATGCAGAGCTTGAATTCACAACCCTGAGATTGAGACCTGAGCTGAGATCAAGAGCTGGAGCCACCCAGGTGCCCCTCAGATGTTTTTTAAGTATACCTAATGTTATTCTGGAAGGGAGCAGCTGTTTAATGTCGAATATATTAGTTTATTTTTACCTTTTTGCAAATTTAAGGACAAGCTGGGTGTGTGTGTGTTTATAACACAGATCTGGAATTTATGAGAACAATGCAATTCAAAGTAGGTTCTTTCGAAATACCGTTCATAGACTATCCATTACATAAAATGTCCCAAGATGAAACTGACTTTTCCAGGCTATTACAGAGTGGTCAAATAGGGGGAAAGGCACGTCTTAAGTAAGATACTTAGATTTTTTTTTTACCATTATTTTAACAATTTGGGAGAGAAGAAAGATTGCTATAGTTACTGTCTTGATCACACAACTGAGAAACTTCCTTTTGAATAATGGTGGCCGTGGAGTCAGCTAGTAGAAGAGTCCATGCTCTTTTCCATGGCTCATTTCTCTATAAGCATGGGATAAAAATAATATAACAGATTACACTGTTCTTAAAATTAGGAAGTGGTTGTCCAATACAAGTTTTTAAAAATATCTAATCCTCTCCTTTTTATCATCTGCAACTAATATCATTTATTCTCCCATCCTTTCTATTTTTTTTTTCTTTTTGAAGTTGGAAAGAAAAAGAACCAAGACTAATTTGAGCAATCCAAGCTACCTCCTCCTCCCTCAGTTAGCATATGTCTCCTTCTCACCCTGCCCTCTTCATTTCTGCATTGTTGGGGACCACTATATCCCTACCACTGGCTCTAAATCACTCTCTTTCCCCCAAACACCCACTCCCTGCCTCTATCTCTTATTTTGCTTAGTGGCAATCCTTCCATATTGGAAACCTCCCTGTTATCCTTGACACCATCTTACTCATTTTCATATTTAATTTAGTGGCTGCTTGTCTTCCCAAGCAGCTTCTGTTCTTCACTGACATCAGTCTTGGAATAGATCTTAGCGCTTAGATTTGCTCCCTTAAAGAAAATCCAGCAGTGAGATAGAGTATGTCACATTTTTATGGGAAGTGTGGGGGAAAGGGGGCCTTTCATTATACAACAGAACTTATTTAAAAATCTGGTTATATATCTTTATCTTTCTCAAAATTCCGCATCACATGTTTTCCCTTGCCCCCGCCTTAATCTTCCGCCCTCCCCCATGAGAGGAAATGCCCAGGTTGCTGTAGATGTCATTACTTAGCTTGGGTCCACAAGAAGTGAGATGGAGAGGTCTGAGACGTGACCCAGCTGTAGTCTGAAACAGCCACGCCCAGCCAGCCTGCAGACCCTTGAACAAAAAAATCAACCCCGCCCCCCCGGTTAGAAATAAATGTTTGTGGTACTAGGACATGGAAATACTGGGCTGTTTTGGCATCATCTGACTAGCACAGTACTGTGGGCTTAAAAATTGGTCTGAATGTGAGCAAGCATCAGATTAAGTAAAATGAGTAAAGTTAGAAAAACGGAAGCAGAGAGCAAGGGAAAAGAAAGATAAAACTTCCCAATGTTCTAAACATTTTACGTATTTTATCTCCTTTTGATTCTCACTGATACTATGGTGCATTTATTTTTATCTCCAACTTACACCTGAAGGGACAAAAGGATATAACCAATCCTAGCAGTAACTACCTCTTAGAAATGTGTTAGAAATGTATGTGCCTGCGGACACTGCTGGACTTCCTTATTTTATTTATGTACTCATATGTATTTTTTTTACGATTAGAACGTATTGATTTTAAAATATGTATTTCTCAACTTTAGGAATGGAAACGGGGAACCTCAGGCTGTGTGGAGTTGAGCGACTTTCCTAAGGTTACACAGACAGTAAGGAGCAGAGCCAGGATCTAATTCCACATAGTCAATCTACATCTACTTGTGCACATTCAGTTCAATTCTGCCTTTATTTTTCTATTTATTTATTTTTAAATAGGTTTCATGCCCAGCGTGGAGCCCAGTGTGGGGCTTGAACTCACGACTCTGAGACCAGGACCTGAGCTGAGATCAAGTCAGGCGCTCAACCGACTGAGCCATCCAGGTGCCCCAGTTCTTCCTTTAAATCATAGCTGTAAACTGGACAGAGAGATGGATAAGCATCTGTCAATCACTTTCCTGTCCCTTGCATGACTCACCTCTTTCCCCCATCCTATCTCCAACCCCTCTTCCCATAGAAAATCTTATTTTGCCACCACAGGTGTACTCCCCTTTACCCCCATTTGTTAAGGTGGAGAACAGCAACATTGCTCATGCTTCACATATATCAGAGAGTTTGCTAGAATCCCAGGGGCAGCTGTGCTGAGTTGTTAACTGCTCCAGCATCTGGGCTGCAGATGACCCTGCAAGGAGGTGCTGTCTGTCCATTGGAAGATTCCAGAGTTGAACAAACATGGTTTAGGGAGCTTTGTTCCAGTCATTTATTTGCTATTAAGGACCTTGACCCTGTTTCTGTTAGCTGTTCCACCATTTATAGTCCACATCTTGCTTATTAACATCTAAGAATAGAATGAGGGTATTAGCAAGACTGAGAGTGTTTTCTTATTCTACTTCCCAAGAATATATAGGGTGTGAAGATGATGAACAGAATGTATTTTCTCATAATATCCTCCTCTGGTAAACAAACCTAGAGATTAAAACCATTCTTTCAGGCTTTCATCTCCTAACTTCAGAAAGAATTTCTGACATCCCCACCATGAAAAAGCAGCAAGTGTAGGCTTATCCTAATACACGAATTAAATCAGAAGCATCTGTAGAAGGAAAAAGACAGCATCTGCTAGAATATGTCACATCATCCAACATGAAATATGTGATTCCTTCTTCCATTGACAGAAGAACTAGACCCCAAAACATCACCCATCTGGTAACAATCTCCCACAAGCTTGGAGGGACCAAAGGTACAGTGATGCTAATGAAGACACTATTTATCTGCTCCTGCCACAAGACCACAGAGTACATGGAAACTAACTTACTGGATTTGTGATACTCAGAGCACTATAAGTGGGAACCAGGACTTTTGGAATTTAAATGATAAATATATCCCAGAGAAAGGCTTTTGGCTATCCAAAAGGGTTTTAGCAACCTTACAGGCTTTGGTGATTAATTATTTTAATATAGTGGTGATTGCAATCTTGGCTTGAAAGGTGCAACAAAAGAACATTTCCAAATATTTATACACATTGAGCCAAAGTTTTAGTAAAAAAAAAAAAAAGGTATAACTTTCCACTTGGGAGCATGGCTACATGAGCAAATTTATTTGCAACATTTTTTTGTGCATATAGTCATTTAACAATAATCTTAACAAATGATACCAAATAACTAAAGAATTCATATTTTATTTTGGAATTCAGAACCAGAATATATTACCTCCTTGCTTTTGCAATATACAATCAATCTTTGTAACAAAAAGAAAGGTTTTACAAAGAAAAACAGTACAATTGCATCTTCTCTTCCAGCATGTTCCTCATTGTTGAATAGAGCCACGTGTAGAAGGTTCTTCTTCCTAAGGAACTCTAGCGTGCTGCCAAGTTCTGCTAACCTACAGAAGGAAAGAGACTGAAGAATTGGCGTGAATCCCATTTGGTATGATTTGTGTTAATAACTGACTATGAAATCTTTTTCAAAATTTTTTAAAAGATTTTATTTATTTATTAGAGAGAGAGAGAGAGAGAGAGCACAAGCAGGGGGGAGAGGGAGAAACAGGCTCCCTGGGCTGATGTGGGACTCGATCCCAGGACCCTGGGATCATGACCTGAGCCGAAGGCAGACACTTAACCAATTGAGCACTGAGGTGCCCCCTGAAAATGTTGATAATAAAGTCAAATGACTTCATGCAGATTTACCCCATATGCCAAGATACTGTTCACATGAGTTCCCAGTAGTATTGACAAGGCGTTAAATGTGTTATGACAATGAAAGTAAAAGTGTGTAGTTTGATACAAATCACAAACGTTTTTCGTGTAACTATTTTGAAGGATAATATGTGAATTGGGTCATATTTCTCTCAGCAATATCACAAGATGAGAAGCACAGATGTATAGAGTTCTACAGATAAACAGAATTTCCCGGTGATGGAAATTGAGAAACTTCTTAAATTAAAGAATAAAAAAAAAAGAACTTTTCTCTCACTCTGAGGAGTGTACATTAATTGCTAATTAATGGAGAAGAAACAAAGTTTCAAATATGCTATTAACTGTCTATCTAAGCCTTGTATTTTATACAGGTATTCAGTGTAAGAATTTGTGTTATCTTTTTATTCCTTTGTTTATAGTGACCCAGTAAATAACATCTTATGCACATGTGTAGAGCTAATTTATAGAACTAATTTTACAATTTAGATTGACATAATGTCAATGCCTTAGAAGCTTGTTGACTCTCCTTTCCCTTTTTTTTTTTTTTTTGAAAGAGAGCGAGAGAGAGGGAGAGAGAGAATCTTAAGCAGGCTCCACACCCAACACAGAGCCTCATGCGAGGCTTGATCTCAAGACCCTGAGATCATGACCTGCGCTGAAATCAAGAGTAGGATGCTTAACTGACTGAGCCACCCAGGCACCCCTCTTTTTACCTTTTTTTACTAATAGTTCAAATTAATGAAATGCCTATTCTTAGGAAATATGTGTATATTTAATTCATATGATTTAATGGAATATTCTCTAAAGCTAAAATTTTTTTAAATTACCTATTAATTTTAATATCTATTGAAAGAAGAGAAGTTTGGGGGAGAGCATATATAGAAGGGTATATTCAAAATCTTCAATTACTTAGAGACATTTCAAGATGATTTGCACTTAGACCTGCCCTGCACATATCCCATGAAATAGGTCCAGGACCAATATAGTATATCAATAATAAGTATATCATGGTATATTTAAAGGGGGAAAAAATCCTAAGGGAGTGTTTCAAAGATGGAACAAAGAATTGCTTCTAAAGGTGAAAGGAACTATTATAGCAGCTAAGCAGTCACTCAACAGAGATGTTGCCGAAAACCTGTAATTTCCCCCCTTATGGGGAATTTGGTGTGAAGGGTAGTGATTTGTCAAGGCCTAGGAAGCTAGCAGACTCAAATAGACTCCAGAATTTGGGTCCACTGCATCCTTCTGAAGTTGAAGTCCACATTACACTTATGCCTTCTGAGAAGTGATCCCCTGTGTTAAATTATTTAGAAATGTCACTGATTATGACCTCTCCCAGAAGGCTCAGCTAAGAGTATACATCACCTTCAAACTTCAGTGTAGAATGGAACTCAGATAAAACAAATTGTCATCTATCTGCAGCCTAATAAAATTAATGAGGTCATGAAGTGGCAATCTTTTGATAATTGATAAGGAATACTGAACAAAAGGGAGCTGGACTAGGACAGATACATCAGGGTTTATTCAACACTGTATAAAGGAGAGAAAGAATATCTCAAGTTTTGCTAGACATCAAGCTCATTTAAAGGGAACGCATATCGAGGCTCAAGTATAGGACTGTAGACTGTACAAACTGACTTCTGAGTAGGCAGATTTTTAAAGACATTCTCTCTGGAGAGATGGATCAGAATAAGGTGCCCAGCTCAGGGGTGGCTGTCTGACTGGGAGCAGCTTGGTGAACAGAGCACAGGTCAAATTTCAGGCCCAAACTGTCCCTTGTCCCAGTACCTTTGGATGTCATACAAATTGCACATCAACATATGGTGGCCTATGTTGAGTAGATTAATGAGCAAATGAATAAATAAGTAAAAAAAAAGGTATATATACAGGGCATCCTATCATTTTGTTGTTTCTAGAAAGAAGAAATACGAGAATAAGTTTTAGTCTGGATAAATGAGCCCCAGAAGGCTATAGAGACCATGTTTCCCTGATTAGTGAACATCAAAAAACTGTCTGATTAATTATTTGGTCTTCACTTACCCCAATTCTGGGAGCCCTGTAAAGCAAGCATAAAGCAAGCATTAAGTGTACTGGTTGCTATACAGTTATAGTCCATAGATTCTAAATCAATATCTTTTTCTCCTTTTCTCTTTTCCGCGGATTTCAGGAGGGCATTGCATCTCCCATGACTACCATATTATCTTATGCACTGCAGTATTCTGTATAATGTATTAAATAAATGTAGGAAATAATTTAATCAGGCATTTAAAGATTTGGTTAATGTCAGTGAGCTCCCCCGAAGATTAAATACTTTCAAGAGGCCGAAAACAGAGTTAAAGTGTGTGTAAAACTAGCCTCTGATCAGGAGTGCCTGTGACAAAGGATTGCTACCTTGTGAGCTCTACCTGAGAACACCAGCTCATCAATCCTGCACAACTACAGGCAAATTCGTTTTATCTGGAAGTCTCACCTATCCAAACATGCAAGAGGAATTCAGGAAAAGGAAGGCAAAGGCACCCGAGTGGACAATGTCAGTGACACAAAAGCCATGAACTAAAAGCTCAGGTCCATTACTCAAAATCATAACCAGCTAGGTTTCTAATCTCTCAGTGCCCGACAGCAGAAGGACCCAGTCCAAACAAAAATATAACACCTGAAAGTGTAACCATAACAGCTGAAAGTGTAACCGTCTGAAAAGGAGTAAGATCTTGAAAAATTATTTTTTTGAAATCAGGCATCATCACTCGAAAGGCATCAGGGCCATTTAATGTATAAGCAACAAGCCTAAAATATCTCCGTGGCCTATGAGAGCATATCTGCCTTGTTGGAGAAGCCTACCAACATTCTGATCATGGTGATGCACGAAAATATCACATTCTGTGCACTTGTTTCAAAAAAGCTAGAAAGTGTAATTTCTTTACAAAATGGTTCTCACGTTAGAGTAATATTTTCTTACAGCATTGGGAATATGTGTGTCTTTTGGTCATCAGTTGTCGAAATCAGTGAGGGAAGTAGTAAGTAAGAAAGCTGCCACACGATGAGAAAGGAGAATGCCCCTGAGAATAACGCTTCTAGAGGTCAGGGCTAAGATTAAGATGCTGTGAACGTCTCTTCCAGTCCAGCTGGATATGGCCAGAGTCCATCCTAACAGGCTAATGTCTGTGTCATGCCAGTCGCTAGACATATTGAGTGAGTATCATCCCTTCTGCAGAGCTTGAGTCCTCTCATTCAGTGTCCCTTTTGCAGATATGGAACCCCTTTTCCACACCAGCAATACTGCCGTCCTAGACTTAGCTCAAGCTTCTCAGCAGCTCTCCACACCCGGCCCAAAGTTAACAAGGGTGCAAATACTGCACCCTGTGTGGTACCATTGTACTAGACAGAAACGCTTTCTGTTCTGTGGGATCTGGATAGCTGATTAGCCTCCCTTTGCCCGAGCTTCCTCATTCTTTCAACAGCTTTACTGAGATATAATTTATATATCGTATGCATTAGTCAGGTTTCTCAAAAAAAAAAAAAAAAAAAGCAACAATAGGATGTGCGTGTGTAGAAAGAGGGAGAGAAATTTATTTCAAGGAATTGGCTCATGGGACTGTAGAAGTTGGGCAAGTCCAAAATCTGCAGGGTAGGTCAACAGGCTGGAGACCCGGGGAGGACTTGCAGGTCAAGTCCAAAGGTGGTCTGCTGCCAAAATTCCTTTTTTTGATTGGGGAGGTCAGTCTTTTTCTTTTAAAGCCTTCAGCTGATGGGATGATGTCCACCCATTCTATGGAGGGTAACCTGCTTCACTCAAAGTCTACTGATTTAAATGTTAATCTCACCTAAAAAATACCTTCACAGAAACATCCAGAATAATATTTGACCAAATATCTGGGTAACATGCCTACTTAAGTTGATACATAAGATTAACCATCACATAAAATTCACCCATTTGTGTATAATTCACTGGTTTTTAGTATATTCACAGATATGTGCAACTATCATTATGGTAAATTTTATAACATTCTCATCACCCTCAGAAAGAAATTTCATGCCCTTTAGATATCATCCATCCACCCCCCAATTTTCCCCAGCCCCAAGCAACTACTAATCTACTTTGTGTCTCTATAGATTTGTCTATTCTGGGCATTTCATATGAATGGAATCATGTAATATCTGGCCTTTTGTGACTGGTTTCTTTCATTTAACATAATGTTTTCAAGATTCATCCGAGTTGTAGCACCTTATCAGTACTTCATTCCTTCTAATGGCTGAATAATATTCCATTGTATAGATAGATCACATTTGTTTATCCATTGATCCACTGATGGACATTTGGGTTATTAACATTTTTGACTCTCAAGAATTATGCTGCTATAAATAAGTTTTTGTGGGGGCACCTAAGTGGCTCAGCCGGTTAAGCATCTGCCTTTGGGGGCACCTGGGTGGCTCAGTCGGTTAAGCGTCTGCCTTCGGCTCAGGTCATGATCCTGGGGTCCTGGGATCGAGCCCCGCATCAGGCTCCCTACTCAGAGGGGAGCCTGCTTCTCCCTCTCCCTCTGCCTGCCACTCCCCCTGCTTGTGCTCTCTTTCTCTATTAAATAAATAAATAAAATCTTTAAAAAAAAGTTTTTGTGTATTTTTATTTCTTTTGAACCTATACCAAGGAAAATTGTGGGTCAAATGATAACTCTGTGTGTACTCATTCAAAGAACTGCCAGGCTGTTTCCCAAAGTGGCTACACCATTTTAC